ACATTACAAAGCTCATGACATATCATATTTCATACATTAGATTGAAGTGGGTTATAACTATTTATTTTTAAAGTCATCTTCAATACAATAAACTCATAATGCTTGAAAAGAATTGACCCAGATTTTTAGAGGTGGCCCGAAGGGAATGTGCCTTGCAATTGAAGAACTCTTGAGAGAGGGTTCTGATAGCCTAGATTTCTGGCTTTCCTGATTCTCTGAAAGATTTTTGTATTTCCCATTTGATAAGGGACATTTAAAAAGCTAGCCAAAACCACTATAAAACTCCCCATCCTCCTTCATCTAGAAACAATCTTAAATATAGGACAGAATTAAAATTAGGTGATCAAAAACATTTGAAGTTGGGGCTGAGGATGTGGCTCAAGCAGTAGCGCGCTCACTTGGCATGTGTGCGGCCAGGGTTCAATCCTCAGCACCACATACAAAAGATGTTGTGTCCACTGAAAACTAAAAAATAAATATTGAAATTCTCTCTCTCCCTCCCTTTCTCTCTTTTAAAAAAACATTTGAAATGGCAGGAAAACAATGGTCAACTTTGGGCAATATAAAAAAAAATAATAATCAGGAGGCCAAGGCAGGAGGATCACAAGTTCAAAGCCAGCCTCAGTAACTTAGCAAGGCTCTAAGCAACTTGAAGAGAACCTGTCTCAAAATAAATAAATAAATAAATAAAAAAGAGGTTGGGGATGTGGCTTAGTGGTTAAGCACTTCTGGGTTCAATCCCTAGTACCAAATAATAATGATAATAATAAAAGAAGTAACATGATTAATGCTGGTGACTTTAATAACACAGGACCAGTGGGTGCAACTTACACGGATAAAGTACAAGCACACTTATAACAATTAAGAGATCTCAGCAAGAATTCTAACTCTGCCCTGGTCAGCAAGATAGACCTTCCACGTACATTGAATAATGGTTCATAAACCCATAGCAACATTTACAAATGTCAGAATGTACTTTACAAAGCAACTGAAGCCAGAACGTTCCCCAATGGCAGTTGATTGAGGAGCAGTGGTTCTAGAAGTGGCCCACCCGCCTCTTCCCTACCAGTTGCATCAGCCACACCTGGGAACTCGTTGGGCATGCAAACTCTCCCACCTACAGAATCAGAAACACTGGGTTGGGGCTCAGCAACCTGTGCTTACCAGCTCTCTAGGTGATTCTGATTTAAGGGCACTGCTGTAGAAGATACTGTGGAAGGTTTGAGCGTGAAACCAAACAGAAGATGCCTAATTCCATGTGTACAAGCCATTCTCATTTTGGCTGAGCCAGTGCCTGTTCGTGGCAGTGCACAGATGAGGACCTTGTTCAAAACACACTTTGAAAAGGTCCTTGGAGATAGGTCCAATGAAAAAGTCATCTATTTTTCATATGTTACCACAGTAACAGTAACACGAAGCATCATTTGCTCCTGAAAGAAAAGTCCCCTTTGCAGGGGACATTATTTACAGAAAGATCACTTTATCCTGAGGAAACCAAATTCTGGAAAAGCAAATAGGGGAAATTCAGCCTTGAAGTCTTCTATATACCCCTTTACAGCCACATTCTAAGTGAACACTCCCTAATTATGACTGCCCAGTATGGAAAACATGTGTCCTAGGCAAACCTTCACGGTCTACTCTGAAAGATGACATTTCCATGTAATGGAGAAAAGAAACGTCTGACTTCAGTCCCTCTGCTGATCCCTCAGTCCTAAATTCCAAAAGGAAGGTGACCTATTCCACCTCCGCCCGTCCTTGGCATCTTCTAACAGCCTCCCGTTCTACCTCCAGTTCTCATTGATGAGAACTGCTATAAAAATGTTTATCTTGGGTTATAACCTCATTTCTGTATCATAAAATCAACTTCATTTTGTGTGTAGCCTTTATAATTTATAAATAGCTTCCATATTTATCATCTCATTTGACTCTCCTAACAACCTGTGAGTTGGGTACAGTTTTATTATTCCCACTTTACAGATGAGAAAAATGGAACTTAGTGCTGTCCTGAATAAACAAGTGATCATTGAATATTAAAAGGGAGGCACAAATGCTTCACATCAAAAATTAAAGAGCTCATGACATCTGTCCCAAAGAACTCCTAAACTGGCTGGAGTTTGACTTCTACCAAATGATATCCACCAGAAATCACCTAGGTAGCTTTTCAGGTTGGGCGGTATTTTTCTGGCCCAGAAAGGGTGAGGAGCAGGGAGCTGAGGTAGTTAAAATGGACAAACTCTTCCAGTTATAGAACCCACGTAACTTGCAATGGTGCCTGGAATTCTACAGGGTACCAAGCAAAAACAACAACACAGTAGTGACGGCATTAAGATTGAGAAGCTCCTACCACAAGCCAGTACCATTCTAAATATATTCAATATGTCCGATAATTCTCAACGTTCCCATTTTACAGAGGAGAAAAACAAGGCACAGATTAGCTAAGCATCTTGCCGAAGACTACATCTTGTTCCCTGGACACTGAGGAGGACATGCAACTGGAAGTGCCAAGACCCTGTGAGGTGTGTCTGCCAGCAATGGAAATCCTACATGGGATGGCAGCCCCTCTGGGAACCTGAGTTATGTTTCCAAAGTTGCCATTTGGGCAACAGTCTCCACACTCTGTCACTCAAAGCATTAATCAGCTGCATTCAGGTTCCAAGTAATCAAGCATTAGCTCAGACTCCTAATAGCCCTTCTCAGACTGTCCCCAGCCAGGAAGGTTTTCTAGATCTTGCTTAGCAATGGAACAGACTGATTTGCCTGGAACTGCCTTTAACTAATTTAAGAAAAATTAGAGAGGAAAGCAGCTTTGGAGGAAACATGGCAAATTAAAGATGCATGTGGGAGGCAGCAGTTCTAGTAAATGCACAGAACTGACAGCTCTGATTTTTCTTTTAAAGAAATATAAATAAAAAGGAGTCTTTAGTGGTGTAAATTACTACTGATTTTTTTTTCTGCATTTTTCAACTGCTCACATTTTGGAAGTGTATGAGCCAGCTTTTACATATTGATCAATTTTTTTATGTTTATACATCTTTTTCTTAAGGCAGGAAACAAAGACCAAGTTGGAGAGAACATTCTTAGACAAAAGAGAACAATTCCACGTCTTTGCTATGAGTGTGCTATGATGGAGGTTGTGGGTAGGGGCAGAAAACTTTCAAAGACTTCCCCAAATTTGTTTGCCTTCATCATTTTCTGTCTCTAAATTTTCATTGCATAACCTCCTTGAGGTTCTAGGAGTTCAATGGTAACCTGACTTAATAGCAAAGAAAGTTCCAGGGTATTCTACCCAACCTCTCCTTAAAGCAAAATCCCACTCCTGAGAGACTGGTACCATTCTAACCACAAGTAAAGTGACATTTCCTTATCCACATTTCTTCCACATTCTTATAATCCTCGTCCAACTACTTACTGTGGGCCCTGTGGGCTTTTCTTCCCTCCTCGAGAAAATGGGAATGATAATCAGGTGGGTGAAAACTAAATGAGTTAATAAACTAGTAGTGTGCCTGACACAGTAAGCACTCACATAGTGTTAGCTATTATTACTACTATTACTTGCAAAAAAAAACCCAAAACAAAACAAAACAAAACAAAACAAAAAAACAAAACCCACAACACTACCTCAGAACAGGGAATCTATCCAGGAGGCTTCCACTTATCTGCAATGTTTCACTGCTTTAAAAAAATTTTTTTGAACTGAAACAAGTCAATACACAATACATAACACAAAATGCAAAAGGGGGAGCTCTTAGGAAGGAGGTGAAAAGCCGCTTATAATCACATCACCTGTTGGTGAGTTTTAGGGGAGGATGCAGAAAACATCTCCTTCCACGACTGCCCCATATTTTCCCCTAGAGGATGAGTTCCCTACTGCTGCGATTCTTCATCACCCTTAATCACCATATCAAGGACAGTACTGCGGGCTGTTCCAGGAACCCCCTGCAATCCTACACTAACTGGATCAGGTCGCAGCTCTGGACATTGCGGGGTGTGTTCTAAAGCTTTCTTCAGACTTTAATGGTCCTATAGCGATGTAGCCAGCAACTTGCTTTGCAAGGTGAGACTCAGGAGATAGCTACAATTCCTTCCACTGAAGGCTGCAGCGGTAATGGGGACACCTGGACTGATCATCAATCAGCTAACACCTGAGAGACCCAATATCACTAGGGGCAAGAGTCCCAGACAGTGTGCACCCCCGAGCTCCTGACCACGTACAGCATACCTATGAACTTCATGGTAGAAAAGCTCTCGGGCCACCCAGACCAACCCCAGGTGGGCGCGGTTTAACTTCCCCTCCCCTCCCCCACCCCCCATTCATTTCCATGAACAAACTCAAAGGAAACTGGTAACGTTCTGCTTAGGGTTTCACTCCTGCCCTCGACTGACACTGAAACCACTTCTTCCAAGGAAGTTAATTAAAAGAAAAACTAATCCGCACAAAAATCCAAAACCTACCCCAAAGCTCAAGAGCTCTTAAAGTTAGAAGATTGAGGGCGCCTAAGGGGATCCTGAACTTCTGTCCGTCTGGGGCTCAAGGGTAGGCAGAGGGTACAAGATACCAAGCAAAGGCCAGCCAGAGAGGGTCGGACGCCCACCCCCGGCTCCAAAGCGGCTCAGAGTCTACACGCCACCATCGCCGGTGAAGACCGGTTTGGAGGCAGCCAGGTAAGCAGTAGGTGTGGGCATGTGTACGAGCAGACACACAGCCGCGGCGGATTAAAGTTCAAACCCGTTCACACACCGCTTCCCCTTCCCTGGCGTTCTCACGCACCGCCCAGGCGGCCACTACCCAGGGAAAGCCAGGGCGCTTGACAGTCCCTCTCTTTGTAATTCTTAGCGTCTCCCTTTGCCTCCCAGGCTCCAACCCATTAAAAGCATTAGCCACCCCCAACTCTCCTGCCTGCACAGAAATCCCCCAGAAAAAAAAAGAAAAAGAAAAAGAAGGGACGGAGGAAGCGGGGTGTCGCAGAGGGCGCACGACGAGCAGCAGGCAGTGTACTTACCGAGCGCGAACAGGGCGAGCTGTCCAGCCGAGGTGACCATTTTACGGGCGGGCGGGCAGCAGGCGCTCCAGCCTCCTGCCCTCCCTGCGGTGCCCAAGTGGCGGAGCGGCGCCGCGGTGCGGGGGGGAAAAAGGCGCTGGCAAAGCAGGGCCGGCCCCCCTCGCGGGCGGGCGGGCCGAGGGAGGATCGAGCGCCTCCCGACTGGCACTACCCCTCAGCGCTGCCAGGCGGGCGGAAATCGGAAGGAGCTTACCGTCACCTCTCGCCACTCGGCGACCAGGGCACGACGGACCACCCTCCAGCCCCAATGGGGGTGCCCCCCTAAGGCTACGGGGGGTGGGGACTGGGGGCGGGGACTCTGCACGCACCAAGCAGGGCGCGGGCGGCTGGGCGGGGCAACCCGGGACTCCCTGAGCCGGGCAGCGTGAGCCTGTCGCCCAGGCCAAGGAAAAGACAGGGAGCATCTGACTTCAGACACCACCCTCAGACTGCCAGTGTAGTGCGCCCGCCGGCCCCTACGTATGGGGTCGGCTCCTGCAGCTCAGCTCGAGGGTCCCTGGGCGCAATGACAGTTTCCAGGCTCTAGGCGGCGGAGCAGAGCCGCCGGGCTCCTGTCACCTGCGCTGAGGGCGGCTCCAGCGGCCTCTCGCGGGCGGGGAACTGGAGACGCGGGTCAGGAATGCGACCTGTGAACTTTGCCGGCTGCCTGCCAAGACTTGGCCCAAGGAAATGCTCCCCATAATCAAGCCAAAATTTTGTTAAATTAGGTTTCCCTCTGCGTCCTCAGTCTCATCAATTCTGGGGACGTCTGCCTGCTGGGCAAAGCCTCGTACATCGTGAAGATCAGGGAATCTTAGTACTTACTTCTAACCTGACCCTGAAAATGAAGATGAAGAGGAAACCTGAACGTGCACCCCTAATGCTACCCATACCCTGACCCAGGGAGTTGAGGCTAGGAACTGGCAGCACTCCATCAAGTGTGACACAAGAGAGGGATGTTGGGTGGGAGTCACCTAGGAGGCCCTTTCAGAATTTGTGGCTTTGAGCTGACCCCTGATGCTGGAATTCAGGAGGTGGATGGAACAAAGGAAAGATATTCTGAGCGGTGAATGGACGACCCATAGATGTCTCAGGGACCGTCCACAGGGAAGAGTATCCCTCAGAGAGTCAATGACGGCCATAGAGCTCACAGACTAACTCTTTTCTCCTGCCTCCTCCAGCCTAGCTGTTCCTGGGCAGCCCCACTCTCCTGGAAGATGGAAACTGTTGCCTTGGAGGAGGCTCTGAGTCTCAGAATTGACTTTTGCCAGTTTGTGCACCTATACAGCCAGAGAAATGAGAAGTTGGGCTCCATTTGTATACAATGTGTCAAAATGCATTCTATAAAATCATGGTATTTGCAGGCAAACGGATGGAGTTGGAGAATATAATGCTAAGCATAGTTAGACAATGCTAAGAAACCAAATGCCAAATCTTTTCTCTGATATAAGGATGCTGGTTCATAATGGGGCTGGTGGGGGGAGCATGGGAGGATTAGAGGAACTCTAGACAGAGCAAAGGGGAGGGAGGGGAGAAGGGAAGGGGCATAGAGGTAGGAAAGATGTGGAATGAGATGGACATTATTACCCTAAGTACATGTCTGAGGACACTAATGGTGTGACTCTACTTTGTGTACAGAGGCATGAAAAATTGTGTTCTATATGTATAATATGAATTGTAATGCATTCTGCTGTCATATATTACAAATTAGAATTAAAAAATTTTAAAAATGCATTCTACTGTCATGTATAACTAATTAAAAATATACAAAGAAAGCACCTGGCCATTTATCTCAACATTTGGGTAGGAAATACCTGTAAAAGGGGGACATTGAAGAGAGTGTAAATTTGCATTAGTAAATCATTCTTTTCATTACATTTGTTAGAAGACATTTTGTTGTTCTTCAGCCTTAATGATTTGCATTGGTGGGTGTTATAGTTTAGATAGCAGGTGTCCCCTAAAAGTTCATGTGTGAGACAATGCAAGAACACTCAGAGGTGAAATGATTGGGTTATGACAGCTTTAACCCAATCAGTGAATTAATCCCTTCATGGGGACTAACTGTGTGGTGACTGACCGCAGGTAGGGTGTGCAGGAAAAGGTGGGCATTGGGAGTGTGCCTTTGGGGTGAATATTTTCTGTCTGGTGAGTGGAGTCTTTGCTTCCTGATATGATGCTGCTTCCCTCCACCACACTCTTCTGCTGTGATGTTCATTCCTCCTCCCCTTAGGCCAGGAGGAATGAAGTTGGCCATCTATGGGCTGAGATCTCTGAAACTGTGAGCCCCCAAATATACTTTTCCTTCTCTAATTGTTCTTGTTCTTTGGTCCCAGAGACAAACAAAACAAAACAAAAACCTGACTAAATAGCGGGTGAGAGTTTCATGGTAAATTCTGGGGTGCATCTTTTCCTCAGTTCACTGCATTGGTGCTTTCCGACTTCTTTCAGTGTCTGGGGTCCACCTCCTTCGGCTGGGTCTTTACCTGTTCTGATGGTTTCCCTGTGTCCTCCCTAGTCTATCTGCCTTGACATCTGGAGGTAAGGAATCAGGAGTTCTCCCACCCTCTGCTCTCAGGACTGGAGAGGGACCTGTCCATCTTGCTTCCTCCTGGAACATGCACATCAACACAGCTCGGTGTGGCTGCCAGTCAGCTGCCCTGCTATCTGAGAGTGTCTACCTCTCTGCCCCTTGCCTACACATAGACCAGGGTCCGGGAAGTATCCCCAGAATCAAGCCAATGAACTTGTCCCCTGATGGGCTGACTGGAAAATCTTTTTAATCAAGAGAAAGATTGTCATCTTTGAGAACTAAAAAGTACCCTATTCAAAGGACATTCTAATATTTGAAAATAATTAATTCTCCCCCAAGATTCTCTAGAGCTGGTCCATATCTGTGGTTTTATAATCTTCCAATTCTTTCTTGGTCAAAAGAAAATCAAAGTCAGGAACACAACCAGTGAACTTTGCCGGCTGTCTGCCAAGACTTGGCCCAAGGAAATGCTCCCCATAAATCAAGCCTTATCAATTCTGGGGACATTGCCTCCTGGGCAAAGCCCTGTCACATTGGGAAGATCAGGGAGTCTTAGTACCTTTCTAACATGACACTAATAATGAAGATGAAGGGGGAACTAGTTTTGTTTTTAACTTAAGCACTTTTTGTTTTGTTTTATTTTGTAAACGAACTGAAATTATTTTGAACTTTAATTCACAGGACTATTTATTCATATCCTAAACCATTGATGATCTGGCTTTGGCACTTTATTTAATCTTCACAGTGACCTTGTGAGATAGTTCCTATCCCCTTTTCATATGACTACTGTGGAGCTGAAAGAGTTTAGTAACTTATGGAGGCACACAGCCAACAATCACCAGAGTCTGATTTTGAGAAACAAAATGAGCTGGTTTCAAGGCTCATGTTTTTGCTTCTCTGCTGCTGCCTCAGTTTCCACATCTTTAATAAGCATAATACTTGGCTCATTTGGTTGATGTCAGGATTAGGTGCAAGAATTTCTCTTATGCTTCGCACAGTATCTGATATCAACAAAACTATTTTAAAAATCTTCCTCAGTGGACACATCTCTAAGTATCCTCCCATCATTCTTATTGTACCATGTCTATATTGGTTTCTTAGGCGTATTCATATGCCTGAATGCATGTGTGCATGCACACTTACATCTCTTCCTATGGGAAAGACTTTTACAGTAAATCAAGAGCTATGAATTAATGTCTTAGCCCACAGTGTGAGAAGGAGGAGGAAGAAAATCACAAAAAAAGCAATTTAGAGCAAAGAAAAGAGATTTCCTAAAAGATAGTGTGGCATCTTTGTATTTTAACAATCCCAGATACACTGCTTTCTGAGCTGAGGGAAATTCCAGCATAGCTTCATTGAAGTTGTGTGGAGACTCAGGTGTGTTCCTTTTACCTCCAGACTCTTGGACCTGACTTAAATGGCCACTGAGGCTCCTTTTTCTATATGAACACCGAGCCTTCCTTTTAGAAATACACCTCCACTGCCTTTGCATACGTGAACTTCAGCCGCCCTTGAGCTCTGTGTAATCCCCCCTGTAACATGCTGATCACAGCCTGTCCTTCCCGTGCAAATAAGAGAACTATGTTATGTCCTAGGCAGAGGTTGGTAAAACCCCACTGTCAGTTTTCCCTTTCCTTTCTTCTACATACTTATTATGGAGGGTATATTTACAGGGGCCCCTTCACTGTAAATAGCCACTCCCTCCTTCCTGATTCATTTATGCAAGGGATGGTGGAGCCACAAGCCCCACAGTCTTCCCTCAGTGGTTCAGGGCAGCTGAGCTTGCTGTTTAGCTTGTAGTTACCAGAGACATCTGTGAGTAAACAGCTCAAGCATTCTTAGGGAGGAAGCACAGCCATGCGCCACAGCATTGGAGGAATTGCAATTCCTGCGGACAAACCTCAGAGCCAGTGACCAGAGCAGCTTCAGGTGGTTGCAGGACCTTCCCTTGGGGGCAGTAGCAGATGGGGGCAGGGGCCGGTTCAGAGGAAAAACAGAAGCACCTGGCCTAGTAGGAGGGCAAAGGTCAGATGTCATCTGTGGAGAGAGAGAGAGAACTTTATAAAGGACTCTGGAGAATTTTGTTTAGGTAGAGTGAGGGGATTTTAAATGTGATATGGGATTTAGGAAAATAAATTTAATTCAAAGTGAGGTATTGTCCAATTATCAGCCCCCCACCCCCAGTAGCCTCAGCTATTTGTGTATTCCTTATTTCTAGATGAGCAAGAAGTAGGAAACTTTCTGCTGAGCTCATTTTTATACAGTTTTCATCACCAGCAGAATGGGTTGGGTAAGTAGAGATAATAGTCTGGGTGATTCTCATTGCCAGTGTTTTCCAAAGACTGTAACCCTCTGCTTCACATCTTCTACCCACCCCCCCAACTATCAGGTCTACCTTGGGAGTGCACTGGCATGTGTGTTAAGCTTGACTTCTTCCTTCCCAGAGAATATCATGAAATGACCCCAGAGCCCAGCATTGAAGCTGGGAGGTCAGTGGTTTCATGAGTTGTCCAAATATCTCTAT